TTTATTTGGTTGGGGAAGTATTTTTCTAAAATGGAAGGACGCGCGAATATCTGTGTGGATGTCGGGGGAATGGAACAGAATACCGAAGCAGAGAACATTTTTCTAATAGAAAGGAACATTGGATGAGATCTCAAAGGGAAGAATGGGCAAGTGGGGGTTAGCATATTTGGGGATTCAGGAAGCCTTGTTTTGGTTTCTATGTTATACTCAAATCTTGTCCCCTATCCCCACCCCGTCTTCATGTAAACCCTTCAGCTATGGTTTTTATTTCTTTTGGTCAATAGACGGAAGTAGTGGGGCGCCCAAATCCATGAAGAAAGGAAAGAAGCAGGAAACTAGACACTTTACTGTCTCCTTTTTTCGTTAAGAGTTTCTTACAGTGTGGGCTGTAAAAATGCGGGAACCCCTTTGCCTTGCCCCCTCAGATTTAGATATTTTGGTGGGGCATGTCAGTACACCTAAACTGTCAGAAAAGTGAAAAAATTTAAACAAAGTGAGGTGTGATTGACGTCTAAGAGGAGCCACCTCCGTTGTTGATTGACGTCTGAGAGAAGGCCCCTCCTCAGTTCTTCTGCTATCGCAGTTTCAATCCAAAAACGCATTAATGGTTACTTGGTGCAGTTTATTTAATTCAAAGCGGGGAAGGTGGTGGCCAGAAGAAGCCTCATTGCTCCCAAGTCCTAACCAAGCAATGCCAACTTCAGAGGCAACGGACTATTTTAGTAAATTAAAAGAGTCATCTAATCAATTTTAGCGTTGCCACCATAAGATTCCATGATCAACCTTATGTACTGAACGTAGTTTAAGATGTAGGGCGTGCCTTTTTTTTTTTTTTTAAATATCGAGTGGGTATGTAGATGGTAACTTGTTATTCATCGGATACGAAGACAATTCATTAAGAGCGGGATCGGACAGCTTTTGGAGATCAATATTTGAGGGTGAAAGCAAGGTGGGCATTAAATCCCATCACAGGGAGACATGAATGAATGAATTGAATAAGCATGCAGCTGGAGTTGCAGAGAGTGGCATCCGATGAAAAAGGATCTCCTGATAGGGAATAGAGTCGAGAAAGTCATACCACAATGTACAGCATGCCGCTGTGTTTATGGAAGTATTTAATCCCTTGTATTTAATACGAAAACTAGTTTCTTGTTCATTTTAATTTTAAATATAAAATCTTCATTTATTTTATTTTTAATAGTTATCTATTTTTTTAAAAGTTATCATTATATTAGTTGTACATATTAAATATTTCATCAAATAACAGTTTTAGCTAATACACATAATTAGTAAAGATATTTTAAAAAAATAATACCTATTTATTACAAATAACTAACTTAACAAAAATTTTTAATATACAAAAATTAATTAGTTAGCTATTATATTAAAAACGAGAGGTGGTAATAAATTCACTTAAAAAAAGTTGCAATTTTAAGTTTTCTCTGGCCGGGATTTTCTTAATGGCTATATATACTGATGTTTGGGAAATTAACTCATCAAAATCTACGATTTCTCTCGCCTGTTCCGTGCACAGTCACAATGCGCGCATGTGGATAATAATGCAAAACATGTTGATGTTAATAGGGATTAGGGAGGCACGTGAGGTGTTTTAAAAAACTGAGAGTAGGTACTGATGATATGCTTAGTGCTCCTCACCTCCACTCGACTCAGAGTTTAAATATTAATATTAGCCAACCCATAAATAAAATAATAGGAAAAAAGATTCTATTGTATTGAATATTAATACAAACGAAAAGCTAGATGCAAGAGTCCCGAGTTAGATCGAGCCGCCTCTCTCTCTCTCTCTCTCTCACACACACACACAGGAATCCTGGCCCAAACAAACAATATCTAATTTGCCTCCATAACGTAGGAGTAGGAAGATCTAAGTAATCGGTAATGTCTCCAAACTGGGTAATTAGTATCACAACCCTTTCGTCAGAAAGGCACAAGGCCAACAGCCTTTATACAGATTCAGGGCATATCACGACAGCAGGACCATTTGGCGGATGCGATGGCTAAGTTGGGATTGTCAAAGTCTGAAACCTTCGATTATTGTCCGCAGCATCTTAGGACGAGTATGATACCGGAGAGTATGGGACTAATTTGCCCCACTAGTTAATGTTTTTGCTTTCTTGGGCCTGGCCCTCTTTCGAATTAAAAAAATACTAACCATGGATGCGTTTATAGCCCTTAGTGAAAAGTGAATCAATTCATATAATTAGAATCCCTTCTTGGCAATACCAAAAAAAAAAAAAAGTCCCTTCTCCGTTGGCTCAGGTGTCAGGTGTGGTCTCGCGGACCAAAGAACGAATGATTTGGGCATAACTCGTCATAACTGAAAAGAGCTCAACATGTGGTATGAGCTTCCTCTTACAATCTTTTTGCTTCTTCTTCTTCTTCCATATCTTTCAATGATTCAGATGTAGTATTTCATGTATTAATTTTTTTTATACTGCAGATGTGAACTGTCGAGATTAAATTTTAAAATTTAAATTTATTTATTTGCATTTTAAAAATATCTTAATAATATTTTATAAGATATTACACATAAATCGTCTATTTTTTTAATATAAGGGTGGAGAAGAGATTCTGAGAGGATTTGAATCCTTGATATGTATGCTTATGATCTAATTTGTTAAAATTCCTCATTGCCATGTATGTTTAATTTTATATGCAACGTAAAAGTTCTCCTAGTATGAATAATCAAATATAAAGTAGGACATTCGAGCTGTTTGGGTACCACCCGCGTTGGGTGGTTTTCCCTTTAGCCGGTCAAAAAAAAAATAGATACTCCTCTTATTCTTAATATAAGAACTATTTAACTAATTTGATTATATTAAAGAAGTTAAATAAGTTAGTTAATTATAAGAAATGTGACACGTTTTTCCTAAAATACCAAAATCACTTTTTTTAATACCTCACATTTCTCTTCTACTTGATTATGGTTGAGGGAGTATCTATAGAGGTAATTTAGAGAAAATTAATAAATATGATAAATGAGTCTTATATCCAGAACTAAAACTAACTCAACAATTAGGTCCTAAATTAAGGATCGGAGGAATATATATTTAGCAATTAGCATGGTTATTCGTACTTTTGCTTAGAAAAACATGTCTTTTACAAAAGAGAACGTCAGATATTTCACATGTGGGGTACTTAGGTAGGCACAGCTGAAAGGACAAAGCTACAGGGGATCTCTAATTAAAAGCGGATTTGTTTCTTTAGAATGGATTAATGGGAAGCGGACGATAATCTTGTTTACCTTCTTACTCGAGACTTCCTGTGATTGGTGAAACGTCACGCTTCTATTAAAACTTCAAACTAATCACTTGATTGATACATCAGGCAAGTCCTTAACAAGCAAGTCAACAATTCAATCCGCACTCACTAAATATTATCTGAAAACAAAATCTAAGCAATCAGCAGTTGAAATGCTTTATATGTGTATATGTGTATATGCGTGTATTTTCTCTTTATCCTTTTTTTTTTTTTTTAACCTGCTCCTTTCTCTAGGACTAAGAACCCAACGTGAATGGCCAATTTATTAATATAATACTCACACACACACACACAGTCTGGATCTAGTCCTCCCTAGGCGGCGGCCTCTATGGTCGTTTATAGTATTAAACACTATATGCGTACTTTTAGCCTTAATCGTTAGTAACTAAACTAATAGTGTATTCTTTCTAAGATTATAAAGAGCTAAATTATTGAAGGTATATCTTTAGCTTTAGAAGCTATAAAATACATTTCTTCTCAAAACCTGCAAGAAAGGGAAGCAAACATTCACCACAGCTCCCCTGCATTTATTGTGATTGCGGCTGCTTCCATGCTTAGCCCCACGGCAGCATGTGCTGTGCGAATATCCGTCAGTCTAAGGGAAACCAAACAATCAGTTTCAATCAGTTGTCAAAAGCATCTTTTCTAGACAATGCTTCGTGCAACCGAGTTGAGGGGCAACTTCACCCTCTTGGTCTCTTACAAATTTATGTGTGCCTCTTGACGCTAGAGTTCGCTTTTACTGACATTTTTCACTATTAGCTTCTTAGGTCTTCCAAGGACAGCTCATCTTCTCGTCAAGCGGTTCGGAATCTGAGTCAACTTCTGCAAATCCTTAATCCCAACGAGCAACTAGTATTCAGAGCCAGTTTATGTACTGTAAAACTAACTAGTTCATGCAACTGTTTATTATATTGAAGTCGTCAATGGGGCAAAATCTCAGCAGTGGAGGTTGGTGATTCTTTTGTGATCCTATCTTGCTATATTATGTGCCTGTTTAGGAGAACTTAGGAGAACGGTGAAAATCTCTAAGCACATTTTATAAAAACCGAGATAAAACTCTTTTCATATACTTGTCTCGTATTACGTAAATCATTATTGAAAAGTTAAGCCGTTTCAAATGGACCCTATATATAGGCCTTTCATATAAAAGTTAGTTGATTAATTTGAGTAGATTAAAAAAGTTAGTTAAATTAATTATTTTTAATAAATAGGTGTTTTTTTCTTAAAATATTCTTATTAATGAAATGTATTAGTTAAAACTACTATTATTGTAAACTTTGGGGAAAATAGATAAATAGAAAAGATAAAATGAATTGAAATCTTATATTAAGGACCAAAATAAAAATCAAATGAGTTTTTATATTAAAAATTAAAAATAGTACTTGATATTGATGTCTGTCTCGGGAGTATGAATCTAACTACTGCGCGTCTTATCTCGTGGTAAGCAAACTAACCATAATTTTATCACTTCACTCATGGCTGGATCCATCTGGAAGCTTTAAGTCAAGAGTGACCTATTCAAAAGACCGCGTTGAACAGAGGGACAAGCATTCAGAATTTGAACCCGTCAAATGCATCCGAAAAATAGACTTTACCCGTGTGAGAGTTATCTATTCGTGCTTATTTTTAATTGTTCAAACTTAGCGGGAATAAGAGGCGCTGGGATACGGATAATGTATTGATTGAGAATTAACTGGTGCTAATATGAGCTCTTATTTCATGGCTGTACAATCAGGAGAGATTCTCCACGTAAACATGATTATATACTCAAACGACTTCAGTTGAGCAGGAAAGATGCATCAACAAACACAAACTTCATTTCTCTGCTGTACAAATTGCATATTTTGAGTTAGAAGAACAATTCGATCCCCAAAATCTCTGTCACGAACAGAGCTTGGGCAAGGATAGTGCGTAACTGTTCCCGGATGCTCTTGATTTTGATATTTTTGCCATCTGGGTTTGCATCTTCTTACAGATTTTCTCCAGTTCCATAACTCTCCATTGCATTCCTTGCAAATGTGCTCTGAGGTTCTCATTATCAGCTGAAACATCAAATTTCCCAGAATACAGCACAACCTGCTCGCTGGTTTTGCCTTTCCTTCCCTTTTTACCAGCATCACTGGAACTACCAGGCGAATCGGTGAAAGAAGTTGAACTTGGAGTAGTTGGAGTACCCTGGAGCAAGTTACTGAGCTTGGATTGCTGAGATATGAGAGCTTGAACAGCAGAATTTGAAGGAAAATTCGTGTTCCGAGAAAGGTGTAGGCAAGCCTCAGCTGAAAGCTTCTCATAATTTAAACCACAACTTATCTTCACCCTCTCTTCTTCACACAATCCAGCGTGAACCTATAATACAACTCATTTAGTTCAAGTGTTCAACTAGATTCAACTTCTAACGAGGTTCAGCCAACAACTTCTGGTTATTACTAAGATGTTACTTTAGCATGTCAGGGGAAGAATAGAAAACGATCCGAGTCCCTCACCTAATCAGATAGCTAACGATATGACAGGAATTAGAAACTCCAAATTCCAAACGAACTTTGAAGGATTAATAAAGAACAAAGATAAAATAAAATTGTATACCTTTAGATACATGTCCATTGCATGGTAGAGTTCGTCATATGAATCTCTCGCATAATCAGGCAGTGCGGTGGCAAGTGCCATGAACTTGGAAGGTTTCAAACAAGGATCAGGGGCTATTTCTGCTATATACAAATCTACCAAGATGGCAACTTTCTTCATTCGAATAGGAGTTATCAGACTGGTTTTCCCTTGTCCTAGGAACGCTTTCAAAAATCTCAGAATGAGATTCACATCGTATAAGTAGCTTATTCCATAAGGAGAAGGAACAAGCAAATTATCCAAGGTCGCCTGATCCAACTGGGAACCAATCATGTTCTCCAACTTATTCCTGCTGCATTTGCTTATGTTCAAACCTAATGTAAGTCGGAGAATCCCAAACAAGGTCTTGCAGGAAACACAGCTCTGATCCATATTGCGATGCATATCTATGATCATTTCTATAATTTTACGCTTTGCCTCAGTTGCAGCAGTCGAAAACTTGGCCTTTTGATAGAACAACAGAAACCTACTTATCACAACTTGGTCCAATTTTCTTACAAGCATTGATTGCACCAACTTTTCAATGTTCGGGGGACTCAAAAATACTAGATCATCAAACCACCATGTTGAATGAGAGAAATTTGTCTTGATACTCTCAGTGCTTTTAGAGTCGCATGAAAACCGAAGCCCAGAACTGTCTGGAGAACAAGTAGATGGACATGGACTTGCTTCACAGCCTAAAACCAGCCTCCCAACAAGTGAATCCAAACATTTTCCTAGCATCGATGAAGAATCTGAGACTGACTCTATATTCTGGCACTGCTTCAAGGCAATCAAAAGGTCCGACCATGTCCAATAGCTAGTCTCCGGGAGCAATTTTTCAGTTTGCGCCGATAAATTAGAAAGCCCAGCCACAGATTCTTTCATTTCCATGAATTCAGCAGCACAATGAGCGAGGACCAAATTGGAAGGAGTTATGTCAGTTTTTCCGTTACCATAACAGAATCTTAACATGAGCTCAAAACCTTCTGCACCTCCTGGAAAGTCATGGAATATTACTTTAAGCTTTCTGGTGCTGCCGCTACTAGATTTGCCAAATAGTTTCGAGAATTTACCCGAATACTGAGCAACGATATCCTGCAAATTAGACCCATTGAAAAACAGAGTTACACCTGAAGGGACAAAAATGTACGCGATGCCAAAAAAATAGGATCAATGTCAAAATAACCCACCAAAAACATGGAATCAATGGAAAAGCGCACAAATGAGAAAAGAAACGAGGAGAAAATATGAAAAGGAGACAATGAAAAGAAAGTCCACAACTAAAGGTCTTCAATCACCAAAAGAATTAATGTGGTGATAGGGAGGTCGTTAAATTATACATTATGGCAAGCAGGAAGGATCACTATCGAATTTTCTCGCATAGAATGGTGGAGCAGACAAAGAAATTTCCTTGAAAGCAACCCTCGGCCCCTCTTAAAATACGTGAATAAAACAATCAAAAGCTCCAAAACCATTAAATCCCCAGGACCCCAGCAAACCATGGCAGTAGCAATTAATATGATGTGCACCCGAAACAAAAAAGAGAACCAAAAAAATAAAGAACATAAAGTGCCTTGTGCTTGGGGTTGGGCTTGGGATGATGATAATTTCTATGGCCAGAGAAATGATAAAACAGCAGTTACTGGACCCATACCCCACCTCCTACCTCTCTGCAATGTAGGTGCCAATTAATGATGAGTGGAAAAGTAGGACGTGAAATTACCAAGGATAACTAGAAAACATGGGATGAAAATTTGCAGAAAAAAGACAGGTAGTAAATCATTGGACAGTAATGATTTTTAACTTTTAAGAGTTAAGTTGCAACATTCAGGACCAAGAGAAACCTTCAAACAAAAGATTGAGAAAGTTGAACCCTGTGTGCGTTTACTGTAGATCCCAAACAAACGAGAGAGAAAGGAAAAAGATCTATATCTTTACATTAGAGGACAAACGACCAGATGAAGGAAACCAGATTGTCTTGATAAAAAGGCAATTTCGGCAAAAGGGGAAATACAATTTCAAAGTGGAGCCAAAGGCAGATTTCAAAAACGAAGTTTTGGAGAAGAGGCTTACCTTGTCCACCAGGAAGGTTTCTTGTCCATTTACATCCACTTCAAGAACAGAGCAAACTTCCATAACTAAAGCAATTAAGGAAAACCTAAAACCCGCTTCAAATCAAGAGTACCTTACTTTTTGAAACCTGTATCAAAAGATTCAAGGAAGAGAGAGACGTAAGAGGGCCATAATGGGCGGTGAGAGTGAGAGGAGACCAAACAGACCATATTCTTGCATCAGCAAGAGGACAAAAACAATAGAGACAGACAAGTCCCTTGTAAAGAGGGTCGTACAGTAGTAGTAAATTGGCACACAAGTAATGCAGTTCTCGACACGGGAGAGGATACGAAGACAAAGCTCGAAGTGTATGAGAAGCAACAAGGCATATAAAGACAGAGGAATGGCATATAAAAAATAAAAATGCATGGACGGACTATGAGTCAGAGAGAGATATTGAGAGGAAAAGAATCAGAAAAATAGAAATTAACCTGCTGTTTAAAGTTTAAACCAGCAAAGCACCAACACTCACCTCCTTCAGTCCTTCTGACATTCCTGCAAAAATAAGAGTAGGCGCCTCCTATAAAAGTATATAGTTGTGTGAACAATTCCGGGTCATGAGGGAGTCATAGAAAAGCCTTGAAGCTCAAGCTTTATTCCATTTTCATCGCTGCTCAAGTCTCTAGATCTCTGCACCTACCGTTTCCCCCATTATTTTAGTCGCCTTCATCCTCCGTCCCTCTCTCTCAATATCCCAAATTTACCACCATGTGGACCATTTTTCTTGGGCAGGTGGGTGGGGGGACCAATCCTCTTCGGCTTCCCCACCACCACCTTAGTTCTCCGCTGTAAGGGTCGGCCCTCCCGTCAATTTGATGCTCAATTGTTTTTAATTTTTAAAATGCCATTACTCAGATTATTTTTCAAGTTGATACCTTTAATTATTTTTTTTTTCTCATCCAGAATCATTTGTACCAGCGACTAAAAAATTGCTCTGCTCCGACACTGCGAAAGCGCGCTTCTCCCGTGATCAAAATAGCAGCTCCAAGAATCGCAGAAGATCATAAATCATCGAAGATGACAGTCATAATTGAGGGGCGAAAAAACAGAGACTGTGATGCTAACTGTAAAGGTCACTGCGGCGCCGCACTTTGCCTGTTAAGCGCATGATTAGATTTATGAAGTCGCCTCCCATATTTGCTTAACCATAATGCAACTGTGATTTTGTAATGATCAGCCAATTATCTTCCTTATAAATTGACTTTTCTAATGAGCGGCTCAGTCCCAAAAAAAATGTGAGAGTATTTGTTAAATAGAGCACAGTATCTTTCAGTTCCTGATGTTGTTGTCATTTTAATAAATAATTTATTAGCTTAGTTATAAAAATAAAATTCATAGGCAGCGACGCATGCCTCTAGTCAAGTGTTTAAAATACTTAAGGATATCAAGCTTGGACATTTTTTTTTAGCGTGCTTGGATATTTTTAGTAGTGTCTCTTACTATTTTTTTTTGTTGTCTCAGCGTTCTTCTATTTTTAATTTTTTTTTTTAAAGTTAAAGGGCAGGTTTAACATGCCATGAAATTATAAGACATTTACTTTAAAGATTTCGTTTCTTCACATTTTTATCTCCGATTGAACGGGCAAACGATGCAGTGCCACGTATCCATGAAGGCATTTTTCTTGAAAAAAAAAATTAACTGAAATATTTCTAATCTACAACCTCACTTATAATTATAAGATCTCATTTGTAGTCTATAAATAAAGTATTATATTTAAAATCAGAAGTAATATTATTATTTGACAGTATGTCCTGTCATATTTTGGAATTCGTAAAAGAAAATATTCACAAGGTAATTTTGGAGTCGGGATTCAATGTATGCAACAATTCATGGATGCATGTGAAGGGGTACGCAATAAATGTGACATTCACGCTCCTTCCATGGCGGGGCGGGTAAATCATGACCCGGCTACGCGTTTAACACAGTCAAATTACTCTCACTTTCCGTTATCAAGGGGAAACAAGCAGGGGCAGCCAGTGTTCTAGCCAGACAGGCCTGATCGATTAGCGCGCACAGCGCATCCCTGCCATAATGAGTTAGACCAGCATAATTTTAAAGCGAAACAAAGAGAATTTTGTCCACTGCGGCATTTTTCTCGTATGTTTCCAGCGCAAGGGTTGTTTGTCCTCGTACACAGAGTCTTTCTAACCAAAACTTAAAAATAAAAAAATAAAAAATAACAGCGCACATTTTATAAAAAATTATACTGTTTGTATTAATATTGATTTATTGACGTGAATTGGTTGATTGATCTCATTTTCTTATAAATGAACATGCTCACGAGACAAATGAATGGATCATTCTTAAGTCGTAGAATATCATCTCATAGCATGATAAGACTCTATGAATCAAAAGAAAAACTCAGATTAAACCTACAGAGAAAAACAAAAACAAAATTGTAAATTATGGGGTGGGCCAAAAAATTAAGGAGATACTATTTTCGATCCTATTTATAAGTTTTAAATTTAGAAAGAGAAATGATTCGTTTTATAAATTTTAAGTTTGATTTGTCTTAACATTTAGTGTATTTTTTCTATATTATCCTTAATTATTTTTTTTGTCTTAATATGAGTTAGGCAAATGAGTTTTAAAAAATAATAAAATGGAAGACATAACAAATTAGTATATTTACCACAGAATTCAACCTTTGAATCAATTCCCATACTTTTGAAAGAAGTGTATACTACATGTACTAATTATAAGTTTCAAATAACGAGCTATTAGTTAAAAGTAATAAGTAGGTTAGAAATATAATTTATTTTCAAATATGTCATTGTAATAAATGAGATGAATGATGAAAGAGAGTGTATTAGAAAAGATGACAGGAGAGAGCATGACAAAATAGAGAGAATAAATGGTTAAGGACAAAATAAAAAAAATGTATTAAATGTCAATACTCCCTCCGTTCCTTATTATAAGAGACGAATAACCGAATTACGTCGATCAAAAAAACAGTTAAAATTAGTTAAGAACAATTAATATGTAAAAAGTATAATTTTTTTTCCAACAATGCCCTCATTAATAAGGAGAGAGAACACGAGAAAGAACAATGGTAATTTATTAAAAGAAAGAGAAATGGGAAGGAGAGAGAGTGTGAGTTGGAGACAATAAATATGGGTAAAATAGGAAATCAACACAAAAAAGTAAAGACAACTTGTAAGTGTATCTTATATATAGGAACATGCCATAAGCACCAAATGTCTCTTATAATAAGGAACGGAGGGAGTACAACATTAAATGGAAGTTTATAAAATGGATCACAGCTCTTCCTGAATTTGAAGCTTATAAATAAGATCAGAGAGAATATAATTTAATGTTGCATATGAGTATTTTAAAAAAATCAAATCATATTTATTATAACAAACGAATTCATCTAATTGTTTTAATAAAGGGGTTGAGTTTTTTTTTGTTGACCTTGGAGTTATCTGAGATTAAAAGAATGGAAGTAGTAATTAATCTGTATCCTCAAATCACAAACCCCGCATCTGTAAAGAGATAATATTGTGGAGGAATAAAAGAACAAACAAATAGATATAAAATAAAGAAGCGACGCCACAAACACCATCCGACCTTAGCTCAGTTGGCAGAGCGGAGGACTGTAGTGGTTTCTCAGACATCCTTAGGTCGCTGGTTCGAATCCGGCAGGTCGGAAGTTTTGTTTTTTCATTCTTGGTATAAGATCTGACTAGACGAACGACGGATTTATACAAACCTCATGATGCCCAAATTCCTACCCAAAAAACAAAAAAAAAAAGCAAGACAAGCCTGTTACGAGTAAAGCAGGCTCAGGCAAAGGCATACAATAAGCCCAAGCATGTGTCATTTAATTATTTAAATTATTTTTTTTTGGCCAAATATTTAAATTATTATTAAATAAACCCAGAAGAATAAGGCCAGTAAAGGCAACAACTAACAAAACAATCGCATAAGCAAAAATACAAAATAACTCTTGTTATTTCGGATAATAATACTCCTCCAGTCCTTAATATAGGATTCAATTATTGAGTTGGTTTTCGTCCTAAATATAAGACCCATTTATCATATTTATCAATTTTCTCTAAATTACCTCTATGAATACTCTCTCAACCATAATCAAGTAGAAGAGAGATGGGTATTAAGAAAGATGATTATGTTATTTTAGAAAAAACGTGTCACATTTATTATAATTAACTAACTTACCTAACTTTGTTAATCTAACTAAATTAGTTAAATGAGTCTTATATTAAAGATCGGAAGAGTATTACGTTTATCCAGGCAAACTAAACAGGCAGCACCCAAGTAAAGGCTTCCCCCTGTGTCAAGTACGCAGGCCTTATGAGTTGCTTTTGGTTCGAGAGAAATGAATATTTTTTCAAAAAATTGTTGGGAGAATCTTAAAAAAACTTAAAATTACTAAATTGGTTTGTTAACAATACTTTAACAATACTTACAAATAACAACATATTTTGGTGAAAAATTTTTATCTAGAATTTAATAATTTCAAGCTTTTTTTTAGAATTATCCTAAATTGTTGATCGTTTAATATTTTATCAAATTCAATGAGAATATGTCAATTAACACGCAACAAAGCAATAATAAAATGGGGCAAAATAACTTAAAAAAAGCAGTAAAGTGCGTGAAGTGGATAATTTTTTTTTTTTTAACCTTCAAGTGGATAAATTGAGTTGAACCACCTTCAATCCTTAATATAAAAGTTAGTTTGACTTTTAATTTGATTTTAAATATAAAACCCCAATTCACTTTGTCTTTCTTATTTATCTATTTTTAAAATAGTTATTGAAATAATTGCACATGTTAAAGATTCAATTAAATGATAGTTTTAACTAATACATATGATTAGCAAGAATATTTTAGGGATTTAAGTAAATTAACAGACTTTCTTAATCTATTTTTATTTTAATCTTAAATATAAAATCCCAATTTACTTTGTTTCTCATATTTATCAATTTTTTTTCAAAATAGTCCTTATAATAATAGTAATTCTAGCCAATACACTTGGATAGCAAGGATATTTTGAGATAGATAACACTTATTTATTACAAATAACTAATTTAATTAAATTTTTTAATCTATTTAAATAATTAACTAACCGTAAGAATTAGATGGTACGTAATAATATTGAAAACATGGCTCTTTAATGTTGGCAAAAAAAAGCACTCTTTAATGTTATGCGCTATTTTTCTGATCCTTAATATAAGACCTATTTAACTAATTTAAAAAGAAGTTAAGTAAATTAGTTAATTATAAGAAATATGACATGTTTTTTCTAAAATACCTTAATCATTTTTCCAAATATCCTTTCTCCCTTATTTATTTGATTATCGTTAAGAGAGTATTCATAAGAGTAATTTAAAAAAATTGATAAATATTAAAAATAAATTTATATTTAAAATTAAAATTAGTTTAATAATTATGTCTTGTATTAAATAAAGTAGCCGCTGGTTTGCTAGTTGTGGCGCCCGCAGGTTTTAGACCCGCAGGGTCCCGGACACCAACGCAGCCGGCGCTAAAGGGTAATGCCCAATAAAAACGGACAAACTGCTCCTCTATTTTTTTTTTTTGGCCAACGACAAACTGTCCTCGTTTAAGGCATATATACTGCTATACACTTTTTTGCAAAGAGTACATATTTTTTTCCTAAACGTCTTGCCCAGATAAATAATGAGATAAAAAGAACGCGGGAAAAATGTTTCTTCGTCCTGCTGGCCGAGTCGTGCGGTATTCTTTATGTAAAAGTCGAGTTGCCGAACCTAATTTCTATGGGCTGCCAAATCTTCGTTAAATCATCTACAAACAGTATACTTTATCAAATGACATTTCACAATTAATAACTTTTAATTAAGAACTTGTTTGAACCCCTTTGTAATACTACCTCCGGTCCTTAATATAAGACCCCATTTTATTTTTAGTTTGATCCTAATTATAAGACTCCAATTCATTTTGTCTCTTATATTTATGTATTTTTTTCCAAGATAGTCCTTCTAATAATAATAATTCTAACCAATACACTTAATTAGCAACGATATTTTAGGAATGACAACATTTATTTATTACAAATAACTTACTTAACTTACTTTATTAATTTCTTCAAATTAGTCAACTAACTCTTATAATTAGAACAGGAGGTAATAAGTGTTCGTGAATACTTTTATGAAAATCAAGATAATTTTTTTTCATATAGTATTTTATCATAATTAAATCAGATTGGTCAGTTGTTTTTTTTTATATATAAAACATGCCAGCTGGATTAATAATGCTCTGGTCATCTGGTGACTCGTTTAGTGGAGATTCCAGGATAGCGTTGACGCAATCAGTAAGTGAAATAATAATAATAATAATGTTAAACCAATCCGATCCGTCTGAATCTTAGGTCTAAGGATAAAGACAAACGCTGATTGGGGGCCGAAGTGGACAACCCACCGACCCATCAGCGTTTTTGAGAGCCAGCACTCTCCCTTCAACCCTTTCCTTCTTATCCCAGAGAATTTCTCACCAACATATCTCCTCCTGCTGAGGCACCACCCATTGGATTTCACTGTTATGAAATTGTTTTCGGAATTCAGATCTTGTTACCGTCCCCAGAACACTCCGGCATCGACGGCGCCGCCCTCCGACACCGACGGCCACCGCGATCCGGATCCTGCTTCCCAGCGGGGCAGACTTCAGCGTTCGCATTGGCGGCCTTCACTTTCCGTGATCATGGAGGATTCTGTGGATCAGCATCGCCACACCAGCGTTGATAAAAATAACAAGTCTCAGAAGAAATTGTTGGCTAAACCCAGATCATCGCTCAACACTAGCTGTTCCTTTCACACCGACACCCGCACGTAAGTGCATCAGTCGCTCGATCTATTCCCCCTTTCACAATAGATTTGATTATTTGATCTTGCAAATGTTTTACTGTTTGTTTCGTTGGGATAATTTTCAGGAGGAATTGTATTATGCCGCCGGTGATGGTGATCTCTCCTTTCTCGGCTACACCGTACATGTTTTGAGCTTCGCCTCTCAGTCCTGTATATATTCGTGGTCATTAAATTAGCTTCATCCGCTGTACAAGATCGTTCCTCATCTTGAGAGCGCAAAAGAAAGCCTCTCTATTGCGGATCTTTCTTTGTTATTTTTTCCCAGTAACAGTTGGATTACTTTTCCACTTTCTTTTCTTCCGTTTCACTCTGTGCTTTTTTATTGGTGAACTCAAGTCATGTGGGCCCACACTCTTTCTCGATGGATGGGGAGATCATGCCACCCGGAATTAGATATTTCTTGGGAGTCATGCTGAAGGGAGGTCGTTAATTGTAACTATAAACTATAAATATAATAAAATATCATTAAGATAAACATTTCTCTTGAAAGATTTGAAGTTATATAAAATTATATAAGAAACTGAGGAAATAATGGATTTAGTGGACTAAATACTGAAACAGAGAATTGTGCCACTAGCCCTTTTCCCTCTGCTTTAAGTAACTCCGAGCATTGTGTCGCCACTTGGGAGGAATCAAAACGTGACAAAGATTTACAAAACGGTACTCTTGGCTGCTATGAAAATTGAAGGTATTTGTATTCTCTTGGCTACAATCTATATGTCAAACACCCCCTGAGAGTTAGAACGAAACTGGCTTCATGGGCGGCACATCCACCGAGAGGACCATCCAAGTTAGATTCCTGTTGCCCGATTCATCACTGACTCTGAGCAAAAGGTTGTGGTCTAGGGGCCGAATCATCCCACTGTAACGGTCTCACCGGGCCTCGTGTCTTGTTACTTCACTTACATGTCTATATATGCACTGATGCACAGTGATATTGAATTCCATGAGCGAATAGCACGATGGAATGATCAAATTCCATATCACTAAACCAACAAACTGATATTGGGACGGATCAAAAACAGATACAGGCGAAGTATTTGGTGACAAATGATGAAATTCAAAATAAACATAGGTAACGTGAATGGAGCCGCAGAGAAACGCCAGAGACATAATAGCTCTTAACTTGCCTCCACCTTCATTCTGACCTCACCAATTTCTCTGCATTTTGCACCTCTTTCGTCTTTGAAAACCAGAGAATGACAGCCTCTAGAAGGCAAGAGGGGTGTCAAGCCAAAATGAAAAATGAGAAGGCACACTTGTAAGGCACCAGTAAAGCCACTGCAGTTGCAGGAATTAGAGAGTAAAATATTACAGCGTTACCGGTTAAAGTGGGAGTGAGCACGACGCTCATGATTTAACACGAAAATGATGGAGTTAGCAGCAGGGAAAAGATCGAAACAAAATGTGAAAATAAAATGAATGACAAAAGTAACTTCTGGACAAATATCCTATTCTTCATTCTAGCCAGATGGATCACAAAGAGGACAGAAACAAACCCCCAACTCGTTGAAAACCAAAGCCCAAATCAAGAGTCTCTACACTCCAACAAGCCCACGCACTCTCTCCAACAAGAAGCATTTGTTATTGACAAACCCAAGGGATCATCCAAGCTAGATGGAATTGCAGAAGGAGGAGGAACTGCAACGGATCGTGTGGTTCTATGGTCTACCCTTGATGATTGAGCAGCACCGTCACTGGACATCGGTAAAATAAAACTTGTTGCCTTGAGGGGTCTATTCGCATGGAAGAACTGTGGAAGCCATGTGATCAGCCTCGTTCCTGTGTGGTATACCTCGTTATTTACGGCTCCAAGCTTCTAGAGAAAAATAAAGAGAAGGTGGAAGCCCGTGTTTGGAATTTGGATGAACTTCTGCAAAGTAGGGGTGTTCAAGGCCGGCTCGTCCCAGTCTTATTGGCACGGGACAGATCCGTCCCAAAATTTTTCAGGACGGGATAAAAAAGGGACCGGGACAGGACGGGACACGGGACGGGGTCGTCCCGTCCCGGTTCCTTTTTTTTAATTTTTTTAAATTTTTTATCCTATTTATATAATATCATTTTTTTCATATTTTTTTTAAGATTTGAGACTATTGTATGGAACTATAGATATATTTATTTAGAGTTTTTATATTTGTTAATGATTTGAGATTATTGATGATTAGAATTTTTAGCAAATTTTTATTGTGTTAAAAACTTTTGTTTAGAGTTTTTAATGACTATTATATGTAATATTTTGAGCTTTTGTTTAAGAGTGCCCAAACAAATAAAATAGAAAAAAAAGATGTTTTTATAAGATTTAAGCTCAAAAAAATATAATTAAAAAAATCAGATTTTTTTAAAAAAATTTTTTAAAAAATTAAAAAATTAAAAAAAATATTTTCGGGACGGGCCGAGACACGAGACAGAAAATCTGTCCCGTTACTGTTCATCGGGATGGAACCAGGACGGGCCTATCCCGATCACAATCCGTCCCGTGAGCAACCCTACTGCAGAGAGGTTCTTTAGACTTTAGAGCATAGTTCCTCTCCTTTTTACCAGCCACCCGGCCGGGAAAAAGCAATGCTTTTTGCTTCTCACCTGGACTTATTTGTTTGCATTTGCAAAATTGACTTTTATTTCAGTTAAGTTTTATGAATTGAAACTAGATAGAAGTCAATTAACAGTTTATAATTCAAATTGAACTATAAACTAGATGGTATATTAAGAATTAGATCTAGTATAATTTGCTTTAGAAACTCTTTTGCAAAAGCCATCTTAAACATATATTTTAGTCCAAACTAGGTTTTTCGGATTTCAAAAGTCAGTTATAAAAGTACAAAAACTATAGTAATATAGTATTTTCTTATAGATTCGGTTAGCTTTGTGCACAGACGGAGTAAATATAATATGACAGCTAACTAAAAAAAATACTAAAATATAATATAAAATGTGTCTTGGGTGTAAATCATATTCAGCTTGCATGTCATCTGATTTGCAACTAATACTTTCGTATGTGTGACAGTTTAAAATGATAATCCTCCCTGATCACTAATATAGATTCTAATTCTTAAGTTGATTTTAATTTAAATATAAGACCTGTTTTTATATTTATTAATTTTTTTTCTAAATTACTCATATGTATATTCTCTTGACTACAATCAAGTGGGAGAATGGGAGGATATTAAGGAAGATAATTATGGTGTTTTAGGAAAAATATGTTATATTTCTTATAATTAACTAACTTACATAATTTCATTAATAGAATTAGTTAAATGGGTCTTATATTAATAACCAGAAGAATATTTGTAGCTCACTTTTTAACTTTTTTTTTTTAACTAATCGACATCGACAGTCTTAGATAAAACATAATAATTAGTATCAAAGTTGTGTGGAATGATGGGTGGAGTGGTTTGTGGTGAGGAAGAATCAGGTAGCGAGAAAGAAGAAGTAGTAGGGTGATAAGAAAAGTCATCGTCAAGAAAGGATGACATGGTCTGTATGGAAGTATCAATAGGTGCACTTGAAACATTTGTAAAAAGAAACACAAGTTCATGAAAAACAACATTTCTAGATAAAAAGATCTGATTTGTATGTAGATTTAATAAAATATAAGCTTTGGAACCAAAAGGAATGTCTAAAAAAACACATTTTTTTAGCTCTAGCAGAAAACTTGGACTGATTATGAGACAAAGTGAAAGCAAAACATAGATAATCAAAAACTTTCAGATCAGAATAAGATGGAAAAATAGAATGCATTTGTTAAAAAAGAGTAAGATTATTTATGACTGGAGATGGTAATCTATTAATGATGAAAGTAGCATCCATTATGGCAAAAGATCAATATGAAACGGGAATGTTAGATTAAAATAAAAGTACACGAGCAACATTGAGAATGTGCTGATGCTTTCTTTTGACCAAACCGTTTTGTTGAGGTGTTTCAACACAAGAGATTTGGTGGACAATACCTTTTAAATCATAAAAAGCTTTCATAACAAACTCGGGACCATCGTCAAATTTCAAAGTTTTAACAGCTGTGGAATATTGAAACTAAAAAATTCGTAAGTTGGGTTCTTGTGTCAGACTTAGAGTCTAATAGAAAAATCCGAGTGTAGTGTGAAAAATCATCTACTATGGTAAGAAAGTAATGATAACCTTGAACAGAGGGGATAGAAAAAGGACCCCATATGTCACAGTGAATAAAATAAAAAATTTTATTAGATGAATTGTGCTTACAGGAAAGGATAAACATTTCTGCTTAGCAAAATGGCAAGCATCACAAGGAGGAGCATAAGAGATACAAGGAATTTTAGGATAATGGTTATTTAAAGCGGAAAGAGTTGTACTAGAAACATGTTCTAAACGTAAATGCCACAAAGTAGAAATAGAATTGGAAGCATTGATAGAAACTGTGTGAACTTGAGGATTAGGTGAAGAAACCATATTTGCATGAAGAATATAAAGCCCTTCAAAGAGTTTAGTTGAACCAATCATCTCCAGGGGATTGAGTGAGCGAATCTAACAAGAATCAAAGAAGAAAGTGAGAAAACAATTAAGAGACAATGTCAGACGAGAAATAGAGACAGTATTGAAGGAAAAATTAGAAAGAAAAAGGACACCGTGAGAATTAAAGAGGGAGATATCACAATTGTGCCAAAAATAGTTAAAACAGCTTGAGTCCCTGTAGGTAAGCTAACAGAGACAGGAGAAATGGAATGATATGAAGAAAATAGATCAAGATTGCTATAAACATGGTTAGTGGCACCCGAGTCAATGATCCAAGTAATAGAATATGGAGAAAAAGAATTGGATATACCTGTAATGGATTTGGTGGAAGCATTAAAATAATTGACTGAAGCAGAAGTTTGTGGAGGTGCTAGGATAGTAAGGAGATATTAATATTGATCAGATGTGAGATGCGGAAGGATGGAAGCCGTAGAAGGTGAGGAAGTAGGGAGAGATGTAGCAGTACGAGTTTCTTGAGCATTACTAGAACCTTGCGTAGAGAAGTTATTCACTGTAGCAGAGGGCCGAATTTTGAACCCTTAGGGAAAACTGTGTTTCTTATAGTAAGTGGCCTCAGTATGACGAGGCCGACCATAATAACCACATTGTTTAGTGACCATAGAAGTAGGCTTTGAGCCAACTGGAGCAGGACAAGGCGACTGGGATGGTCCTTTGGCAACCAAAATATTGGAATGAAGAGGAAGAGTGAGTTCCCGTTCTTGCTGGAGCACAAGAGAAAAAACTCGGTTGATTGTTGGCAAAGGATCAATAAGCATGATTTGAGACTTGATAGAAGCACATGGATCATT